GAGTTAAAAAAAAATTAGAAGATGATGTCAGGGTAACTTAATCAAGTATGTAGTGGATTAGATATGGTTGTATATTATGATCATATGAATGCGATGTAATGAAGGAAATAAGGATTCATATGATAAGGGAAGTAAGAATTGATAAAAAGTTTAAGTTGATGAAAAAGGATATTTGTATTGTGATTCGAGCAAGGATTTTTATAAAGAATAAGATTAGTACAAGTAGTGTTGACTATCAGAATTATGAAAAGAGTATAGGAGTATGAAACAAAATATATGACTCATGTTACAAGGAAATTTTGATTCTTGGAAGAATAGTTAGATAGAAAATTTAAGATGGAGTTAAAGTTTAAAGGATCAAGTATGACAAAGGTTATATTAAGGCATAAAATTTTAAGTTTGATTAGAAGTAAGAAAGGTATGGCGGGTAATACGAAAGGTTATTTGAATCTGCAAAGTGTATGTCTTAATCATCTATGGAGAAGATTTAAGGTTACGTTTCTTGGTTAAGAAGACTTAGTAAGAGAAAAAAAAGAAGGATTATATGTATTAAGTAAGTTTAAGAAGTAATCAAGTAATGATGGAATAAAAGTTGGTTATTATTGCAATGTAATTAGAGATTGAGGAGGAAAGTGATTGATTTATGATTTTTGAGTGATAAGAATTGATGATTATTGTTTACTTGATAAGTGACATGATATGGATGTATAAAGGAAAAAGGTAGTTAAAGAATTGAAGCAATGAAAGCCAAGTTTGTTAATGATAACACAAAAGATTAAGGTGAGGAGACAACGTGAGAATATGAATAGGATATGTGTAAACAATATCCTTATCTATTAGTGTAATGAAAATTCAAGGACGAATTTTCTTAAAAGGATGAGAGATTTCTCATATCCCAAAATCAGGGTTAGTGACTAAAATGGAAGTTTTGAAACTTTGAGGTATGATTTCAAAAGATTGAAAAGTTTAGGGACTTATTTGGAAATATTTTGTGAATGATTGTTGGTAATAATAAATGAAGTAAAGGGTAAAATGGTCAATTGGCAAGGAAATATTTTATTTTTTATTTTTAAGGAAGTGAACCACGTGGAATTAGAGAGGAAGGAAAAGAAAATTCTGGAGGCTTGTTATCTTCTTCCTCCCGTGGCTTCAATGGTAAGGTGAGTTGGATTCAACTTGATTATTTCTTTAATTTTAAGGTTTCTTTTGATTCTTAGAGTGATAAGAAAGCTTAAGGGAAGTTTTAAATGGTTTAAAACTCAAAGATGAACAAGTTATGAGAAAATAAGTAAAAGGAGTTTTTAAGTGAATTATTGAAATGGAAGGAGTTAAGAGATTTTGAAGTTAATTTTGACTTGTCAAGGGTCTAATTAAGAAGTTAGAATTAATAGAAGTGAATTTGGAACATGTTGAATTTTGGCTTAATTATTGAATTCAAGAGTGTATATGGGATATTGGATATTAGGATGAATTAAAGTGATCTAAGTTGATTAGAATAAGTGTAGTTAAGCTTAAAAATCTAAAAGGAGGTTATGGTAGAGGATTTAAGTAAGTTTGGTAAAATTTTCAGGCTTAAAAAGTGATTTCTGGGTTATGGGTATCGGTACTGCTTCATCAGGTACTGATACCTCAAGCGTAAAATAGAGAATGAATTCAAAGGGTATCGATACCTAGGAAGAACATTATCGATACCTAGGGTAACGATACCTTAAGGAAAGTATCGTTACCATCTTTGAACGAGAATTACAGAATGTAATGTGGGTATCGATACCTAGGCATGGTACCGATACCATAGCTAGGGAAGTATCGATACCCTATGGGGGGTACAAATACCATTGCAAGAGAAATTTTGGATTAACTCTTTCTTCTAGCTTAAGAAATTAAGGATTGAATCATAGTATTTGGAATGTTGATATGTATGCATGATTGTGTAGCTATCGATCGAGAGAAAGTACGGACAAGTCGACAAGTAATAGTCATCAAGAAGAGATAAAGGAACGGTATTGACTAGTGAGGCCAAGTGAGTGCATATTAGTTATTATATGATGATGAATAGAAATAAGACTTGCGATAAGTCTATTTCCTATATTAGAATGCATGAATTCATGATTAAAAGCTTGTGTTTGATATGAGTATATGTGATGTATGCTATTGTGTAAGTTATATGATTGTTGTGAATACATTATTATTTAAATATGATATAAACCATGTGACAATGAATTATATGAGAACATATGTATGTAAATGAGCTATGTAACTAGGTGAGCATATGAAAATATGACTGTGAGATATGTGATAAGAAGTGATGTGAGTAAATGATCAAGAGATATAAGATAAGTGATATATGTGACATGTGAATTATATGGAAATGTTCTACGTGTAATTAATCTACGTGTCTATGTGAATATGTCATAAATATGAAAGATAATGCCCATGTTATGTGTCATGAGAGCTAGAGGTATAATTGACATGCCAAGAGTCGAGGGTTCTACGTGGTCCTTTGGGATATAAATGCATCATTTGGAATATTTATAGGGTCTTTTGAGACACATATTTGGTCATTTGGAATATGTATATGGTTTTTAAGAAGTGGTCCTTTGGGACATATGTGATATGTGTTATATGTGGTCCTTTGAGACATAGTGGTTATTCGGGAAAAATTCTATGCGCCCCTAGTGGGAATTATACGAGCTATGGTGACAGCATATGTGTACAACCTCTATGTACTCACATATCTTTAGATCTTACATGTGTACATGAGCTAACAAAAAGATAATAATAAACATACTACATGAGATGTATAGGTCTTTGTGATATGAATTGTATTATATGATTTATATAATGAAGTATGTATTGATTGGTCAAATATATGATATGACAAGATGTGTTTGAGTATTAAGGACAAGACCACATGATTAAAGGAATGATATGCAAATAATATTTATAATAATAAGAATGTGAATATTGATAATATATATATATATATATATATATATATATATATATATATAATTGTTATATGAATTAGTATGTGATTTTATATGATACGATATTATAAAGTATTCATGCATTGTTAGGAATTAGAGTTTTCGTAATTCCTTTATATGCCTCAATAAGTCACCATCTTAGCTTGTGAGTGTTTCACACGTAGGTTCTGAGAAGAAAAAAGAGGAGCAAAGCAATGTTAAGCAAGGCAAGACAGGTTAGTTTCTCCTTCCCGATTATCATATCAGAAAAGTCTTTATTAATGTGTATTTTGATATCTGAAACTGTAGTTGGCATGTAAGATAAAGTATTTGAGATATATAAGCTCTGATAAGTTTTGTAAACTATTTTATTGGAATAATATGAAGTTTATTTAATATTAGTGAGAAAATCTAATTATTATTTACATGTAAAGGTTTTCATAACAATGTGACACATCGGACTCGGATCCGGGTCGGATACGGGTTGGGGGTGTTACAATGATAATCAATGCAAAGTCTTAGAGATACATCTTTATTCTTTACAAATAACACTAGAGTACCATACGACGACACACTAAGTCATATGAAACATCAATTAAGTAACTCTAGGGTTGTCAATGAGCAGAGTCGAGCTCGAGTATTTTTGAGCTCGACTCGACTCTAAAACTCTAAAATAGAGCTCAATTCTACTCGAAAACTTGCAAAGCTAAAATTTTCAAGCTCGAATCAAACTCGAAATCATGAACTGAAGCTCGTAAAAGTTCAAAAAAGCTGGAAATGAAAAAAAAATATCTTAAACTTTACTTGATTGAAGCCATAAACTCAAACACGAACATGAACCTTAAATACATGAAAATCTTATGCTGCATTTTAAAATAAATCAACACATAAATGTTAATATTATTAATAATTTGTTTTTTTAAAATAAAATCTTAATATATTATATTTTCAAGTTGCTCACGAGTTTTTCGAGTCGATTATCAAGTAGCTCATTTCAACTTGTTAAGAACTCGAGTCGAGTCTATTCGAATCAAGTACTTATTAAACTTTGATCTAATTGATCTCGAGTAGCTTGCAATCTGTCTCATCTCATTTACAACCCGAATTAACTCTCAAAGTTTATCTTTGAGTTCTTTCAACTTTACCAGTTCTATTTGATAAGGAGCAATGGAAACTGGAGTAGTTATTGATTGCATGTCAATACCAAATTCAATCTATCTTTTGGGAAGTAATCTATGTGATAATTATCTAAAAGAGTTATTATTTAGAGTTTGTTTTACTTAGATTAAGCTTGTATTTTATCATTTTAGGATCATATTTTAAGTATTTTTGTTAATTTTGCACTATATACATTGATGAGTATGAGAAAATACTCAAAACTTTGAAAACTCTCTCTTTATATATAAATTAAAAAGTTTCTCAAATCTTAAAAAATACCTAAAACTTTGAAAACTCTAATTCTAATCCTTATGCCCACTTTTATCTCAGTTGTCCTTGATCGAACCTCTATTAGAACCTACACTCAACGATAAGCCAAATCCAATTATTCATAACCTAGAGACTTGACGTCCCTGGTGAAGAAAATGACAAACATCCCTAAATAACGAACTCTAACCCTAAAAATATGGCATCTAAACGATCTAACGATGCGTTCGGCAACAAGAGTAATAACGAACAGTAAGGGAGATACCAAGGGTGGCAAAAGCATTAGTCAAACCAAAAGGCATCAGGAGAAACTCGTAATACCCATAACGAGTTCGGAAAGTCGTTTTAGATACATCATAATCCTTAACTTTGCACTGGTAATAATCGGATCTCAAGTCTATCTTAGAAAATACTGAAGCTTCAAGGAATTGGTCGAAAAGATCATCAATATGAGGTAACAGATACTTATTCTTAATTGTCAGTTTATTCAACTTCCGATAACCAATACACAGTCACAACGTCTCGCCCTTCTTCTTAACGAACAAAACTGATGTTCCCCACGATGTGACACTCGGTAGAATGAAACCCCCGATCCAACAACTCCTGTAACTAAACCTTCAACTTCTTATGCTCCTTAGGTGTCATCTTGTAAGGAGCCATAGACACCGGAGCTGAGCCAATGTATACCTCAATGTCGAACTTAATCTCCTTACGCTTAGGCGGTACACCATGTAATTCTTCCAGAAAGACATTCGATAATTCTCTCACAACTCTGATCTTATCTTTTACATTGTCAGACTGTCCTGATCCAGAATATAAGCAAGGTAAGCAACATACCCCTTCATAATCATTTTCTCGACCTTGAGAGCTGACACAATATTGGTTAGAAAACCACGACGTTCCCTAATAAGGACAACTTCACATTTATCATAAGTTTTCAAAGTAGCCCTTTTTAAATCACAATCTAGATTAGCTCGGTGAGCGGATAACCAATCCATTCTGAGGATAAGGTCAAAATATCCGAAAGGTAACTCCATCAGATTAGCTAGAAAGATTTTATCATGAAGTTCTAACGGACAATTCTTATAAACCTTATTAACCTCTACCGGAGTACCCATATGAAGATGGACAGAGAATGCAACCTCGGTATTCTCAACAGGAATTTCAAGACCCCCAGTTACTATACTCGCCACATATGAATGAATAGAACGATTATCAAGAAGTGCAAAGTATGAAATAGAATGGATATAAAATGTACCCTCAATAACAACTAGCTTGTCCCGATCCTTGTGCCTCAGAGTAGCATAAATTAACCCAGGCTGTCTCATTGCAGACTTATCAAAACCTCTACTCTGAGCCGGTCTACCTCTACTAACAGAACCAGAACCAGTCGGTCTACTCTCCGATTAATGTTTAAATTGATATTAACCTTAACCGATCGCTAATCGAGAACTCAAATAGTATAACTTAGTGAACTATATATAAATAACAAAATCCTAACGTCGGAGTTATTACTTGGAGTTTCAAATCAAAACATTTATTTAATGTGAAATCAATATTCATATCTAGTGTCCCAAAAATATTTAAACAAAATAAATATTAACTAAATAAAATATTAATAAATGATTAATAGAAAATCTAGGTAAAATGTCATACGATGAAAATAATTAAATCCGAATAAAGATGTAACTCCAAGTACCGGTTCTCCTAACCCGGGTATCTGAAAAAGAAACTAAGGGGATGTAAGCTAATAAGCTTAGTGTGTCTCTAAAGTGCAAGCAAAGTCAAATCATAACACAGTCTGAATCAAACAATATTAATCATATTTCGAATCAAACAGTAATAATCAAATATGTGAATGTTATGCAAATGCTCATGCACCCACCGTACTATTGTCACACTATCCGAAGAGTAAGTTTCCCAGAACCACACTATCAATAATCAAAACACACCATATGAATGGGGTCAGCTACAAAGACAGACGCCACAAAATCTGAAAAAGTGACATTCACCATGTCTAATGAATGCACTGAACTTCCTCTATTAGAATTCATCCCAACATGACATGCAAAGAACACACATATCTGATATCCGATCCGATCTGAATAGCACATATCCAAATAACATATACTCGAATATTATATATCTGAATTCTGATCTAATCCGAATGTAATAATTACATGTACAAATAATCTGAATGCACCTCATAATTTTCAGTCCGACATATCAACATATTTTACATAACATACATTTTTGAATTATATCAGATTCACAATATCACAGAATCCAACATGCACGAAATCAAACTTCCAATCGACATGCTTATAACTGAATTATAATTAATTCAACAATACCACAATACAATCATGCTTCAATCAATTTTTCAGTCAGACAAACAATCAATCAACACAACATAATATAGCATCGGACAGAGACACATCTCGACAGATAGCTAACGACGGTAATAACCTCTACCAATGTCATCTCGAGTAATAGGTTGATCCGAATCAGTGTCTACTATCAATAATTTAAATAAATAAATAATTTTAAAATTATCTACGAGACTAGTGTACTAAAATTGTCAGTTGCACTCCCGGTCAACACGAGTCGGTTCGAAGCTCGCGGAGGAGACGGTAACTTGGTTCCTGATTCAGAATGTCCTACAAAATTTACAACATCAGAAATTAATCCCAATACAAAATTTCATTTTACGAAATGACATTTAACGACAATTGGAATTTAATTTTGGCTTGATCGAGGAACTGACAGCGTATCAGTTCGAATAAATAATTCTGACTGTACACCGGAGGGGATCGCCGATGATGGGAATGAAGTGGCAATAGCCCCCATAGACCGGAAACGACACGACCGACCTTGTTACGGCCTTAAATGACTAACGATGACTTCATCAAGAGTTGGTAGCAACCGGCAACCTGAAACAGAGTCAACAAGGGTGTTTTTCACGTCCAATCAACAACGGTTAGTCGCGACCTAGGTCGTCCGAGCCTTCCTCGGAGAAAACCTGATGTTATCACGACCAAGAACGGTCTAGCACGGTGGCGACAGAGCGATATTACGAGATAAAGCTCATCGATCTCGCACGAGCACAACCCCGAGAGGACGACAACATCGATGGGGTTCTAAACAACGATCGATGAGCTTATCTTTGTGATCTGACGGCGTTGTAACGGTGGGAAAAAGGAGAATTTCAATGAGAAATTAACATGGGTCTTTATTCGACGGTGATGGAGACCGTGACGGAGGTGACAGGATTATCCCCGACGGCGTTCTTCACGATCCTGGCCATGATGATGGTTGTCTACAATATAGTGAGCGGCATGTTTTTGGGTCCCGAGGATTTCCGTCAAAAAGAGCCGATTCAGGTGGGAGATATTGCGGAATCAGAGTTAAGGGCTTACGATGGTTCCAACCCCAAAAAGCCTCTCCTAATTGCCATCAAAGGCCAGATCTACACGTCTCTTCCTCCAAGTAATAACCACTCCAATTATTATTTTTATTTCGTTTTAAACATTCAACTATTTAAAAAATTAAATTATTTTCTATTTTTGTTTCATTGTAATCATTCAACTATTTAAAAAATTAATTTAGCAATAATACACGTTTAAGTAAAATTTAAATGCAATAGTAAGCATGTGTTAAACTACTTCAATCTTTAAGAGATTATTGTTATATATTGAGACCTTAGATTCGAATATTGTGTATTCAAGGAATGAACTTCCTTGTTAAATGATTGTAAATCTATACCTTAGATAATTGAAACAGAACAAAGTGATAGTCAAATGCGATGACCTTAGATTGAATTCACATTAATGATCAAGCTTTTACAAATGGGTTTTATGCCTATTTGAATTGATGATTCTCTTGATTAGGGGGAAAATGTGAAATATTGGTTTGATATGAAGTGGTGTAATGGTTTTTCAGGATGTTTTATGGGCGTGGAGGGGCTTATTCGATGTTTACGGGGAGGGATGCAAGTAGGGCATTGGCGATGTTGTCGTTCAAACCCGGAGACCTAACGGGGAACCTTGAAGGATTGAGTGCTGAGGAGCTCGGTGTGTTGGATGACCGGGAATCTAAGTTCATCGAAAAGTATCCCGTTGTCGGTCGGCTTGTTACTTCCCCTAATTCCTCTGAAAATGGAGACGAAGTTCAATTTCAAAAGAATGATAGAAATGAACAGACCGAATGATAATTTGAGTTCAAGCTTAAAGTATGTTTTGTTGTAACAGTTTGTGGTCATGGTCTCCAGTTCCTTTTAAGTTTTGGATGAGTATTTACCTGAGGTCTAGATTAGATGACATTACGTTCTTGTGATTACCGAAAATGTGTATCTAATAATTTGGGAATTAACATTGGTAGACATACAAGTGTTTTAAATTAAATCAAGTACTGTAAAAAATCATTAAGGCCAATCCTCCCAATAAATATCACAAAGCAAACTCAAAAGAGGAATGAAGTTTTCCATAATCCACAAAATGCATTAAACGAAACAACTGTTTACACATACACTGACTTGGCAGGAAATTTGATGCTAAATTGATTATGTTCAGTTGTTTACCAGTCGACTCCAGTCCAGTCCTATTCTTGTAAAGAATACAACTGAGAAATAGAACTGCCACAACTGGAAAGAAAACCCTATAATTTTCTGACAAAATGTTTCACCACAAAAAAGCCGAAACAGGACAAAATGTTCACTGAGGATCATCAAATGATTGTACCTTAAGGGTGCTTGACAAAGGGTCGTTTTCATCAGCTGCTACTTGAGCAGTATCCACTTTGCTCCGCTTGTTACTTCTTTTCAGTTTGCAATCAGGTTGAGGAATCATCTTTTGGATCAGCATTTTCATTTTCATGCCAGGTTCACCGTCACGAGAATCATCTGTATTTTCCACAAAGCAATTCGTATGTTCCTCACTCGACTCTTCAGCAGGCTCGTCATTCTCGTCGCTCTTTTGTTTAAGTGACTCAATCACATCCATCAATTCTCGGTTGACCTGATGTATATTGCATAAACTTATTCAAACTATCTTTAAGCATGCATGAAACACTTTGCTAACCGAATATGTTCGGCTAGTTGTTATAACCATTTTTTAGAAAAATAATTAAATATTATTTTAAAAAAACAGTTTTTACTTTAATTTTGAAAAATCAAAGTGATTTGGAATTAATTTAGAATAAATTGAATAGAGTCGCCATCGACCTTTGGGTTAGGTAGATCGAATACATGAAGACGTCTTTTTAAAACAAGTTTAAGAAAAATCGTTTTTTAAGATGAAAAATGGTCTGCGTTTACCAAAGATTCGATTTAAACGGATTCGGGAGTCGGTTACGCGTGGGGAAGGATTAGCACCCCCACAACGCCCAAAATTGGTACTATGTCGCTTACATATTGTCGTAAATGGTGGAAATAGTGAATCAAACATAAAGTTAAAATATGATCCATTTATTAAAATTTAATTAATTTGCTTCGAATTAATTAATTAGAGAAAATTCTTTAACTCGAAAAGAAATCTCGAAATTAGCAATCCTCCATCGGGAAAGCTAACTCGACTATTCCTTATCAGTAAAAGAATATTCCCTCATAATTGATTGTAAAAAAATACAAATTGAATATAAAATGGAAATCGATATTTGTATAAAATAAATAGCTATTTAATAATATGCATCGCATTGTTCAACATTAAAAATAAAAGAATTAATTAGCAAAAATAAAATCAATTTTTATTTCAAGTTCACATTTGTTCGAATGTCGTATTGAATTGTACCACTTCGATCAAGTGATACTTTACACGCCTGTTCCATAAATATGTGTTCTTGAAATTATTCAAATAATATACAATAGATAAAAGATACAAAGGGAAATAAATGTAATCGAAAGTGTACTAAATATTTACAGTATGTGTAGCTAGGAACATAAAATTACATATTATGTAATATATTCATGCATAAAGAACTAAAATACAAACCGATAAATATTACAAACCAAAAATGAAATCACCAAAAATAAGTATTTAAAGGACCAAAATAATAATTTAACCAAACTCAAAGGGCTAAAATAGCTAAAATAGAAGTTTAAAAGACTCAAATGACAAAAACATAAACTTAATGGACTAAAATAGCTAAAATAGAAAGTTAAAGGACTGAAATAAAAAAAATAGAAACTTAAAGGACTAAAATAGCTAAAACAGAAAGTTAAAGGGATGAACAGTAAATACATCAAACCAAAGCCAAGATTAAAAAAATTAAATAATGAAGGTACTGGAAATGTAAATAACCCATTAATAACATTAAGGACTGAAATGAAATG